TCAATCAGTTTAGGATGAAAAAGATTTATAGAATATGTCAGTCACGGATTAGGTTATCCTTTGTTATGGGATTTTAAGATTATCATGTGAAAAGGGCTTAAAGGCAATCATTGATTAAGTTTTCATGGATTAAGGTTTCTGGTGGGTGGGGGATGCCCCTCCCACATCTGACTTTGTGTATAAAAGACCCGTTGTAATTCCCAATAACACACATCACTTCTGCACTAGACTGGAGTCCAGTCTCTTTCTTTCTCTCTCTCTCTCTCTTTCTCTCTTCTTCCCCCCAATCACCGACGCCGTCTCCACCTTTGGGGTATCCTGAACCCGGCTGGAGCTGGTCTCCCACATCTGACAAAGGCCTAACATCTAGGATCTACAAGGATCTCAAACATGCTGAAAAAAAAAAAACAGCCCCATTTCAAATTAGGCAAAAGATACAAAAAGACAGTTCTCAAAAGAAGACAAGCAGCCAGCAGATACATGAAAAAAATTCTCAGCCTCATTAGTCATCAAAGAAATGCAAATTAAAACCACACTGAGATACCACCTAACTCTAGTCAGAATGACCATCATCAATAACTCAAAAAACAACAGATGTTGGAGGGAATGCAGGGAAAGGAAACACTTCTACACGGTTGGTCGCGTGTAAACTAGTACAACCTCTGTGGAAAACAGTCTGGCAATTCCTAAAAGATCTAAAAACGACCTTCCATATGACTCCACAATCTCCCTACTCAGAATATACCCAGAGGAACTCAAATCACTCTATAAAAAAGATACCTGCACACATATATTTATTGCAGCACTGTTCACAATAGCAAAAACATGGAACCAAGCACGCTACCCATCAAAAGAGGATTGGATAAAAACTAAGTGGTACATATATATATAATGGGATATTACACAGCAATAAAGAAGGACAAAATTATGAACTTCACAGCAACTTGGATGGATTTAGAGTCTATAAAATTGAGTGATCTATCACAGAAACAAAGACCTGAGTATCACATATTCTCACTCATAAGTGAACCTTGAACAATTATCATAATACTACAAGAAAAGGATTGGCAGTAGTTCAAAACTGCAGATTGGGGGGATGGGATTGGCAGTAGTGGGAATCTGCCAGGGGAGGGGATGGGCACACCTCATCAACAAGGGTGCCTGCATAATAAACAGTTGTATACCTAACCCTGAATTGTACTCCACATCTTTAAAATAAAAAAAAATTAAATATAAATAAATAAATAATAAATAAATGGGAACTGGGCTACACACACAAAAAGAAAGAAAGAAAACTTTTTCCTCTAAGATCAGGAATGAGGCAAGGATACCAGCTTTCACCACTTCTATCCAAAACAATACTGGAAGTTCTAACTCGAGCAATTAAATGAGAAAAGTAGATAAAAGACATACAAATTGGAAAGAAAGAAAGAAAACTTCTCTGTTTCCAAAGGTTATAATTTTATACATAGAAAACCTAGATTCCCCCCCAAAAAAACCTGTTGTCATGAACATTTATAATTCAGCAAAGTGACATAATAGAAAATCAGCACACACAAATTGGTTGCATTTCTATACACCAACAATGAAAAAAATATGAAAAAAATTATGAATACGTTTCCATTTATGATATCATCAGAAAAACAAAGTACTTAAGAATTAACTTAATCGAGGAAGTAAAAGACTTGTACAACAAAAACTATAAAACTTTAGTGAATTAAATTGAAGAGGGAGACGGGACAGGTCAGACTGTGAGAGTCTCCACAAAAGCGAGTGTCCATAAAGACTCTCTGCATGAGTAGACATGCACATGGGTGAGTGAAAGTCGGTCTGAGGGGAGACTTGGATTCATGCACCCAGGCTGTCCTCCAGAGGTGACTGCAACCCTGAGATTGGAGCCGCCAGCACACAAGATCGTCTGCTATTCTTGGGACTCTCCTGAGAAAAGCCTGCTGAATACAGCTGATTCTCATCACCTGGTGCCTGCCCCACACCACTATCTGCTACAGCAAAGCAGCTGGAATGCCCAGATCAGATGGGTGGAGAGAGAAGATGGGGAGAGCTGGAGAGAGGAGCCTCACCACTGGTGAGGAAACACCAACCAGAGCCATTTTCTCTGTCCTGGACCAGGCAGGGACCTGCATTGCCCTGCACAGCTCCACCCAGCCTCCAACCTGGGACCTAGAGGTAATCTCATCAAACTCAGAGACAGATGCTCCTCCCCCAAGCTGTATGAGACACAGACACGCACGTCAGGTCTCAGTGGGGCCTTGACAGGCAGCAAGCCAGGGGAGTCCAGAACTGATCCACCCTCCTCCCGCAGTAGGCCTGGGGCACCTGACCCACACTGAAAGCAATCCTATCAGCTTGCACTGAGAGCAGAGGGAAGGGGCTGGAGATCAGAGCTGAAAGGAAGCTGAACTTACAGGAACGACCTCAGAGAGAGTTGTTTTTGTTTTGGTTTTTTTTTGTCTCTCTGTTTGTTGTGCTCATTTTTGTTTGCTTTTGCTTTCATTTTTTTCTCTTTCTGTTTTTGATTATTTTTTCATACTTGCTTTGTTTGTTATTGTTGGTTTTTTTAGACTTCCTGTTCATGTATGAATATTTTTGAGGAAGGGTACATCAATAGGGGTGTTTTTGTTGGTTTGTGTGTTTGTATGATTGTATGTTTTAGTTTTTTAAATCTTTTCTGTCTTCGTGTCTCTTTTCATGTTAGTTGGTAATCTGTTTTCCCTCTTGCTCATCTCTCTCTCCACCTTCCTCTTGCCCCCCCCTTCCATTTTCCATTCTTTTCCTTTTCCTTATCTCATTTTGCTTTCAGAGAGCAAACCTATACCTCCATTGCATGAACAGATTGTAAGGCAGTGGGAAGTGGGTTCCAGGGGGCCATACACCTGTCAGTGGATACTGGGATCTGCAGATAGATTGTGAATCACAGCTCCCCCTCAATTAAATCTCAAAACTGCAAAAAGTACAACCCCCCAACCCACAGTCCAGCTTCAGAATTGAACAAAGTCAGAGGATTCACATTAGGAAGAATAGGAGATTGAGCAAAAGAGAGCGAAAAATCCATACTAGATTCATGTAGACTCTCAAGGGAAATCAAATAGCAAAAGACAATCCTGTAAGAAACAAACCTGAAAGAGATACAGTTCCCAATTTCAAAATTTATTGCAAAGCTACATGAATGAAAACAGTGTGATATCGGCATTAAGACATATATATTACTAATGGAATAGAATAGAGAGCTCATAAACGTTTGCATACAATGATCAAATGATTTTTTACAAGGGTCCTGAGAACATTCAATAGAAAAAGGACAATCTTTTCAACAAATGGTGGTGGAGAAACTGGATGTCCACATGCAAAAGGGTAAAATTCGACACAACACCATGTACAAAAAATAAACTCAAAATTAATCCTAGACCTAAACATAAGATTTTAAAATTATAATACTCTTAGAATAAAACACAGAACAAAAGTTTCATAACATTGAATTTGCCAGAAATTTATTGAATATAACACCAGAGGCACAGGCAACAAAAGAAAAAAATAGCCTAATTAAATGTCATAATTTTTTAGACATTGTTCATTAAAAGACACTGTCAGCAGAGTAAAAGGCAACCCACAGAACGGGAGAAAATATTTGAGAATTATATAATAAGGGAATAATATCCAAAATACACCGAGAATTCTTAAAGCTCAACAACCACAAAAACCTGATTAAAAAATGGGAAGAGGCCGGGCTCGGTCTCAGCCTGTAATCCCGCGCCTTTGGGAGGCTGAGGTGAGTGGATTGCCTGAGCCCGCGGGTTCGTGACCCGCCTGGGCAGCGAGACCTCATCTCTACAATAAATCAAAAAATCAGCCGGGCGTGGTAGCGCACGCCTGTAATTCCGGCTACTCGGAAGGCTGAGGCGGAAGGATCGCCGGAGCCCGGCAGGTCAAGGCTGCGGTGGCCGGGAGCAGCCACTGCACTCCTGTCTGGGCGACCGAGTGAGACTACAACTCAAAAAAAAAAAAAAAAAAAAAGGGAAGAGAACTTAGCTAGATAGTTTCCCTGAAGAAGATATGCAAATGACAAATAAGCACAGGAAAAGATAGTCAACATCACTAATCATTAAAGAAATGTAAGTCAAAACTACGATGAGATTACTTCACACCCATTAGGATGGCTACTAGCAAATAAACAAACAAAAAGCAAGAAAATAAGTAGTGTTGGTGAGGATGTGGAGAAAATGGAACACTTACACACTGTTGGTAGGAATGTAAAATGGCACAGCCACAATGGAAAGCAGTATGGCAGTCCCTTAAAATTTTTAAAATAGAATGACCATATTATCTGGCAATTCCATTTCTATGTATATACCCAAAAGCACTGAAAGAAGAATCTTGAAGATACATTTGTCCTGCCATTATCATAGTGTCATTATTTACAATAGCTAAAAGAAAGCATTAACCCAAATGTTCATCAACAGATGAATGAATAAACAAAATTCAGTATACACATACAATGGAATAATGTTCAGCTTTTAAAAAAGGAAAGAAATTCTGCCTTATGCTACAGTATAAATGAACCTTGATGACTTCACGTTAAGTGAAGTAATCCAGTCATAAAAAGACAAACACTGTATGATTCCACTTATGTGAGGTATACATCATAGTCAAGTTCATAGAGACAGAAAGAATGGTGGTTTTCAGGGACTGGGAGGGTGTAGGAGGGAATAGGAATAGGTAGTTATTTCTTAATGAGTACAGAGTTTCAGTTTTACAAAACAAAAGGAGTTACGAAGATGGATGAAGATGTTAGTACACTATTATGAGTGTACGTAATATTATAGAATTATACTTTTAAAAATGGTTGAGATGATAATTTTCATGTTATGTGTATGTTGCCACAGTAAAAAATTAGGGGGAAATGTATCAGTTAGTATATTGGCAAAATGAATATAATCACAAAAATAATTTTAAAACACTTAAATTTTTGTAGTTCTAATTACCATTTCAGGACCACACATGGTACCGTCAGCTACAAATGTTTCATCTCTATCTCCCATGACATAATATTGCGTGGATGATCTAGGTGGATTTTCTGGCACTGGCATTCGCCTGGGTAGAACTCCAGAAACGCATATATCACCTCGTATATGTGTATATATCACAGATAAATTTGCAATTTCTATTAATTCTTTGTGATCCCACACACAGACCAATTTTCCACATAGCGCATTACTAGAAGCATAAGGAAGAAAAAAATTGTCTTGTTTATTAAAGTAGCATAGGTTGGGATATGACTAGATTTTTAAAATATTTTACTAATTTAGATCCAGAGTTCAGTTTTCTCTCCATCTTTTTTTTTTTGAGCACATTGATTTATGTTATGGCTCTATTTGTTTTATGATGCAATTTGACAAGTGAAAAATGCATGGTTTTTGCAATCTGTCAGCCCTCATCTGTTCTATACTAGCTGTTGAAATTTGAGCTAATGATCTTTGGTCTTCAATTTTTTTCATTAGCAAAATGGGATAAATAGGTCTCTCCATACACATTTTATTTATTTATTTATGTTAATAAATAATATATATAATTGTATATATACTTGTATATATAATTTTATCATACATAAAATATGAACTATGTAATATATATATATGCTCATATATAAACTACCTTACAAAGTGTCTAGCTCATCACAATTAAAAAAAGGTCATTTTTATGGTCATTGTTATTTTAATGGTGTAGGTATTGAGCATATGTTACAGTAGACAGTGGACAATATTGTTCAGCTTGGAGTACGTAACAAAAAATTGACAAAAATGCCATTTTACCACAAATAGAATATCTTTTAGGATTTTAGCAATCTACAGCCTACATGCCAAACAAAATCATAATGTTCTAAATACATACCCAAAATCACAATGACCAGTCACACAGTTTCCAAAATTGTCTCCTCTGGTATTCACTTCGTCGAAACAAGAAAATGAACCACCTCTACTCTCTACAAACAACAACAACAACTTAAGTAAATTACAATACAGAATTTAAATTAGAAATAGAAAATATAGACTCAATCTGAAAATTATAGTGTGATCTCTAAGGAGGTTGATAATTATTCAGAGCAGCCCTACGGCCACCTCGAGCAGGAGGGGAAACAGCAAAATGCAGGGTATTCCAGAGCACTCCTGCGATCTGATCTCCCGTGACTCTTAACGCAGCGTCCTATCTGGTGTCCTTTTTCAACTCAGTTTTTGGAGGTCCAGGATGGCAGGAGTTTGTGCATTGTTTTCTTGAATCTTGTTGCTTTGACTAACCCACTCATGGTCAGGATTTCCTTTTCCTCCCTTTTCCTTTTCACCAATTCTCCAGGGGCCCTGAAACATTTAGCATCTCTTTCAGCAGCTTTCCTATTTCTGACTTTATTCCTCGAAATCTAAACGCACAGTTTAAGAGAGACAGTGATTGGAAGTTGCTTGGGACATTTTAAGACAGAACCTTGACTCTGGCAATGAAGTCCTGGAACCTTGGGTGCACAGTCAGTCATGGGAAAGACAATGTTAAGGGCTGTTCACATTAGGAGCTGCAATAGTCTGCTATGGAAATGCTCTTGGAGGAGATTCTAAGAAAGAGGATACAAAGTTTTTGTTTTCTTTGCTTTTGTTTTTTGCCTGATATGGCGAAGTAAGTGTCAATAACTGGTTTGGTGTTTGGTTTTTGCTTTTCTTTACTTTTCATGTCTTTTCTTTCCCTATGCAGCAGCAAAAAAATAATTGGGCAAAAGGCATTTATTTTGTGGACTTTTATGTAATTGTTCACTTTATGTTAATGCCTTGTGTTTTATAACACACGGTGCTTTCCCACCACATCTGGTTCCCGGAGCGAGTCTGTGATGAAGGTAGGCAAGTATTTGTGTTTCTGTTTATGGATGAGGAAGACCAATGTCCTGCTCTTTGTGACATTGAGCCCAGTGGCTAAGACTACTGCTACATGTTTCTGCTTCTAAATTTGGTCCCTTAGGGGCCTCAGAATTGATTGAAAGAAAGCATAATATTATTATCTTAAAGCTGACTATCTACAACAGGGAGGGGATAAATATGCTCCTTAAAATGCTTCCATATAAAAATACTCCAACCTCCACCCCCATCACTGGAATGTCTAGTGGAGCCTAGAGATGTCAAAATATAATAAAACAGACCCTGGTTGTGGGCAAAATATCTGATAAAGACACTCTCTGGTATAAAATAAGAAGTTGCAACCAATGTGGACTAACACTTGAAGGCTCAGGCTGGTTATGACACTGAGAAGCACATTAGTAAGCAAAGAAAAATAAATGTATGCAATTTTCACAGAATTAACTCAGGTGAGCTAAAATTAATTGAACTTCATACAGTCTGAATTCTTGAAGACATCACAGACTTGATGTCATCAGTGGATCTTGGGCCAAGTCTCTGTGGCTCTTAATCATGCCAAGGTAGGGAAAATTACCATATAGGGTTTATGTGGTCTTTTAATAGCCTATCCAGGCTTAAGGGTTCAATAGCATAAACGAGTGGATCACTGACCAGGAGGATCACAAGTCAGTGTTCAGATCCATCTCTTCACTAGGCAGTGTGATATAGGGAAAACTCTGTGGCCTCGCTGGGCCTCACTTTCGTAGTAATGAGAAGTTAAGTAGTTGGACTCTGATATCCCTCTCATTAAAAATATTTCATTATTATGCTAAAGCATCATATTCATCAAATATACTTCCAAAGTTACTTGATCTTATAGTTGTAAGCAAAACTGTAGACCTTCTATTAAACATGCAGTCTTGTATTTAGCCATGTGGTTTTTGTTATTTATCAAACTTCTATTGACTTTTTCCACTTAGTTCAAAATGTGTGAGGATGTTTTCATAGGTCAATGTAGGGGTGCATATTTTTCCTTTTCTCTCAGGCTCAAATATGACTCAGCATGGCACTGTTTCTTGTTCTATATTTAATGAAAAGCAGATTTTCCTTTTGCTGGTTTTCACTTGACTGAGCAAGAACTGTAAATGAATTCAGCTTTTTGTTTTTCAATTAGAGTGAATTATCATTGCCTGGAGGTCTTCTACTGAAAATACCTTGAGGACTCTTGCTCATTTTTTTTAAAATTGGAACTTGCATACACTAGAACAGCACTGCACATTCCCAACCCATTGTGTTCATGCCCCCTCAGAGTGGTAATCTGAAATACCAAACTAAAAAAAAGTGGGAGAATTGTGGATTTTATATGCTGTTGCTTTTCTTTTATTAATCGAGTTATAGAATTATTTGTCTTTTCTGTTGTTTGTTATGTTTTGCCCTGTATGGAATGTTTTACAAGAAACTTCAAAGGGGTCACATAACATATAGATCCTGTTAGGCACTGTCTAGCCCAGCCTTGAAGGAAAATATGTAAGAGGGTCTAGACTTGAGCTAAGAGTCATAAAAATATATTCCAAAGCCACAGCTTGCCATATAACATGTGCTCTGGAATTTTTAGTCTTATTATTTTATTATTCACCTACTGTCCAGGACAGTAGACCTAAAGCAATTCATCTAATAGCTCCTCAGATTTAAAAAAAAAAAGTATTAAATAATAATAATTTGTTCTTCAATAAATAAATTATTGGGTAGAAACCTAAAATGAAAGGAGCCCTGTCTCCTCTTTTTGCATGAAATTCCAAATAGGATACATTGTAAAAAAAAAAAAAAAAAAAAGAGTAAATTTGGATGAGAATCTGAAAATCTAAGACAATCCAACATGGGGCTGAACATTTTCTTTTTTTGTTTGTTTCCATGTGAGGGAATTTGGAGGCTGGCCAGTGATGGATGTATCCTAAGAGACAACACTAGACCAGTTCTATGATTCCAAACTACTCTGGCTGCATGAAGTTTGTGTGGGGGGCTGAATGTTTTCAAAGGGACTCAGAAAATTAGCAAATAAGAACATCACCTTAAGTACCCTTTGATGACAACTGGTTCCCATAATAGAAATTGAATCAAAGAATTCCCATCCTCTAAGAATGAAGAATATTTTAAGACTATATTGTTTGCCATGTTACTTGCAGATATTGCAAGCAAAAACATTTTTGGAATAACCAATGTCCCATATTACCCAAAACAAAGGCACAATGGCACAAAACTTATCAAATAATGTTGTGGCTGCATTTGTCGATATTTTTCCATTGACTTTCTAAAGTGATTTATCTTTTAATATACACTGTCAGTAAAACAAAATTTTTAACATTGTGGTATACTATTTCTACAATAAATCCTGCTATTGTAAGACAACAGATCTTTTGGAGTATTGAAACTACATTAAGAGTGAGAATTTCTAATAATTTCAAATTCTTCCACTTGACTCTTTTAAACTTTTACCTAAGATTTCTCTTACAGCTGGATGCAGAACTAACCTCAGCCCTATTGTGACTATGTACTTCTTTAACCAGTCATGTAAAAAGGGCAAACAAAGAATATTATTGAAATATAATTACCCCTTAATTTCCAGTAGTGTCTAAACCACAATATATACCTTTTTCAGTCCTGTCTGAAGCTAAATTCATTGTTTTGACAGTCTTGTTTTCAGCATTCCATCACTATTTAGTTACCTTCAATTGAATCAGCTTACAGTATACTTGGACAAGAATATATTAAGGTTTTTCTGAGTGTCTACCTTATTTATCTCAAGGTTTAAATCAGCAACTCAAAGTATAAAATTTCTTTCCCAATCTGCCTCATCCAAAGTAAGTGATACTCTATGTTGTGTTTATTTGGAGTTTTCAAGTTATCTCTATATACTTATCTATTGCATTATAAGGAAGTATAAAATTTCTAAAGAAAAGTTTTAATATTCTATATCATCATCAAGCCATGATTTGTCGCCAAAGGAAGAACATTGCCTGAGGAAAGATGGTTGACTATTCTAATTTATCCAAAAACAATTTGTAAAGGACATCTGTGAGGAATTAATTGCTGTGTAAACAACTGGTTCCCAGTTTATGCAATAGTGAGTTACATATATGATTTTATTAATTTAAATATTATGGAATAACTTTCCCTGAAGTGAGAGACCAAATATGCCTTCAATACCTCAAAGTAGCCTTCAGTAGCCACCTTGATTATGTTTTCTAGATTATTATATATGTTACTTTCTATGTGTGTATTATAGTTCAGGTCATATTTTAGCTTATCCCACTACATATCCAACTACTCAGTGCTCATCAAATATCCATTCCCTGTATGTAGCCTGCTTCTTAAATGCAGAGCAATTGTAACTTTAGCTAAATTACTTGAAGTATCCTCTTACAGGGATTACATTTAAATGTGATGGTGCAATAAGCCTTATTGCTCACTGAAAACCTTTAACATATTTTAGTTCATTAAATGATTATAAAATATTGTTGATTTCTCATTATCACACAACTATTCAATAATCCAACAAATCTTTTACACTATAGAAGTATGCTTCTATATTTGGAAAATATCTATACCCAGAGTCTCTGTGACCCTGTCATAAAAATCCAGATTCAATATGTTTTTGATAAATCATACCTTTAAAATGAAAAAAAGCAATACCAGCCGGACTCAGTGGCTCAGCCTGTAATCCCGTGCCTTGGGAGGCTGAGGTGAGTGGATTGCCTGAGCCCGTGGGTCCGAGAACCACCTGGGCAACTTGGCGAGACCTCATCTCTACAATAAATCAAAAAATTAGCTGCGTGTGGTAGCATGCACCTGTAGTTCCAGCTAGGCTGAGGCAGAAGGATCGCCAGAACCCAGCAGGTCGAGGCTGTGGTGACCGGGAGCGGCCACTGCACTCCAGTCTGGGCAACAGAGTGAGACTCCAACTCAAAAAAAAAAAAAAGATAAAAAGCAATACCAAGTTTTCCAATAATTATTCAGACTTTAATATGGCACATAATCCCTTTTCAGAGTCTGAATCAGCTGAAATAGTCAAATGTGTGACCCTCCCTAAAGTAGACCATTTCAGCCTCAGCAC